TTAAAACATTTTTCATGGAGGAGGCATGGTGCCACTAAAACTTTTTTCTGTGGAGAAAAATTTCAAAAACCCAAATTGATCTAGATTGGAGAAAATTGAAGCTTATAATAGAAACTATCTTAGATTTCATATTCACATTCTCTTGCACTCTCTTGTTTTACTGTTCTCTCGTATGATTCCATATGATTACGTGTAGTAACTTTAGTCTCTATATTTTTTTAATTATTTTTTCACATAAATCAAAAGTTAAGAGTATTATGTTGAAAATTTTAAGAAAGATATTATGAGCGCAAAAGAGAATTTAACATGTATTAATAAGTTAGATATGTTGGTAGAAGGGTATGAGTTGAAAAATGGTTTGTATATCATTGAAGAAAAATTATTAAACTGGATTTAGTCCAAATTTATTACATTTTTGTTCTATTATTAGATTTTAACTATTTGATATACATAATTTAGTATTATTTATATATCTGATGTGTAAGCAAACTAATTTTTATTAAGTTTTTAATTTTTAATAATAGAATTGTATAATCTTTTTATCAAATAAGAAATCAGAAAAAAAAGAACTTAAAAAAAAATAATTTGAATTGGATGTGGAATAAACTATGAATTAGAATATTATTTTATTTAAATATATATATATATTTATAGTTTGTGTTATATTTTTGTTATTAGTCTTAAAAATAAAAAATTAAATAAAATTCAATCTTAAAATTAACAATTGACATTAATAATCAATTTAATATAATATAAAAATAAATAAGACATTAGTTCAATTAAAAATCTATATTTAATATAGTAAAAAATAAAAAATACGGTAAAATTTTATGAAAATTATACTTACAAGAAATAACAATATTTTGTGCTTGAATTTGTAATAGTGAGTTAGTTTCGGTTCTCACAACAGAAATGGGAATCAAAATATATATGACTAAGTTAAGTAGGTTCAATTTTTTATTTTACTTTTACAAATTAAAATATATAGTTAAATAAATATATTATTATGTTTTTTTGTATTTTTTAAAAATAAAATAATTAATATCGTTTCAGTTTTATTTTTAGTCAATTTTCATTACAGCGATTTCAAAATTTTGTTTTGGTCACAGCTTTTATTTTTCTTGTAATTTAAATTTTTTTGGGTTCGATTTCCAACAATTTGCACCTCTAATTTGTACCGATGTTATATTTTCTCAAAAAAATAAACAAATTTAAATTTTTAAAAGGAAAATTTAATTTCTCGTTTGTTTGTTTGTTTGTTTGTTTTTTTTTTTTAATTTTCATAATTAGATGAAAACTTATCATCAATTATTATTTTTTACTTTACCTTAGGGTAAAAGAATTAAATTTACTGCTTCTCTGTATTAATTTATCTAATTCTCACATAATACCTGTTTGAATTTTTTTAATAATTATTTTTAATATTTTACTATTTTATATATTATCAAAAATCAACCTGAAACACGAATCATATCTTCCTTTATAGAAATACCAAAACCAAAAATGTAACGCACCTCGATATGATTAATATTAATTAAAAAAAGTTAAAAAAACAATAATAGTCCTTTAAAAATAATTAAAATAATTTTATTTCGGAAAATTATATACTTTATCCTCTATGGTCTGCTTCCACCGCCTCTGCAACACTAGGGGCGAACCGAGAATAAATATTTTAGAGCAATGATTTTCAGACAGCACTGTCACCTTTATTTTCTCAATTTCAATTTAATATTCTGCCATGTATAGCTTGAATCGACCTTATCCGAAACGTGGAGGAGTTTCAACACCGGCTGTCTTAAGTTTTTTCCTCACAGTCCGTCTCCCAGAAATTTTCTCTTGTTTTTAACCGCAGTAGAAATACAGCTCCGTGGTTAACAAGTTAACCACGGTTAACTCTAACTCAACTATGGTTAAACCCCACTACACTCAGCAGTTTATAAGCAAGCAAACCATGGCGTTGCTTCCGTAAACAAGTAGAACCAACCCAAGCGCTGGAAACGACGAAAATGATGCTAGGCGAAGCGCATCGTCCGAATCCGACGGTCCACGTTCCTCCGTGGTCGTTAGTCGACGATCTGACGGCTGATATTTATTCTCCACTCGGCGTATCAGTCAACCCGAACGGCAATGCAAGTAGCAGCCCGGACGGCGGCAACAACAGCAACGCCTATTATTTGCAAGAGGCCATAATGGCGCTTCAGCGGTATTTGCCGTCGAACGAACCTGATATAGATTCTGATTCCGAGTTTTCGGGCTTGGACCAGCCGGATTCTCCCGTCGACGCCTACTCCTGCGATCATTTCCGCATGTTCGAGTTCAAAATCCGGAGGTGCGCACGGGGAAGGTCCCATGACTGGACCGAGTGCCCGTACGCTCATCCGGGAGAGAAGGCAAGGAGAAGAGACCCGAGGAAGTATCACTATTCGGGTACCGCCTGCCCCGATTTTCGTAAGGGAAACTGCAAGAAGGGAGATGCCTGTGAGTTCGCTCATGGGGTATTTGAGTGCTGGCTCCACCCTGGCCGGTACAGGACACAGCCCTGCAAAGATGGACCCAACTGCAGGAGACGGGTCTGCTTCTTCGCTCACTCGCCGGAACAGCTAAGGGTCCTGCCCCAGCAGAGCCCAAGGAGCATTAATTCCGCCGATTCTTTTGATGCTTCCCCTTTGAGGCAAGCGATTGAGGCTTCCTGTGCGATGAAACTGCCGTTCATGTCGTCTCCGGGGTCGGTTTCGCCACCCACCAGTCCCAGAGGTGAGTCACCGCCCATGTCTCCGATGCCTGTGTCACTGAGTCGTTCAGCAGGGTCCTGCTCGATCCACGAAATGGTGGCTTCCTTGAGAAACTTGCAGCTAGGTAAGATGAAGTCTCTGCCATCTTCTTGGAACGTGCAGGTTGGCTCTCCATCTGGATTCGGGTCTCCGAGAGGGTCCTTGCTTCGACCCGGATTTTGTAGTCTCCCGGCTACCCCTACCCGTGCTCCGGCCTGCCCAGGGATCGGCTATCTTGATGCGTGGGATAAGGTATGCGAGGAGGAGCCTGTGATGGAAAGGGTTGAGTCAGGCAGAGATTTGCGCGCAAAAATGTTTGAGAAACTGAGCAAGGAAAACTTGTTGGATCGTGAGGAAGCGCCGGACGTTGGTTGGGTTTCGGAGTTGATCAAGTAAGATTTGCATATTTCCTCGGAAAAAGTTAGGATTTCTGGCGTGAATCGGGTATCCTTATTGGGGTTTAATTAATTTGGTAACTGTTTTCCGATTCCTCTCACTGTGAATAGAACTGAAAGAAGAGAAAGGGAGGGAAATCTGGGAATAGATTTTGGGAGCAACAAAGATTGAAGATTCTGTGTACATAAACGTATATATTTATTATTATATTAATATAAAATATGATATATTATGAGCAGTAGTTATGGGGGAAGCAAAGTAGAATCTCTGTTTTGGAGAGAAGACGAAGATGGAAGAAGAAGAAAGGAAGAATTGTTGGTTTTATTTAGTTTAATGGTTGATGATTCTTGTTTTTTTAACTTGCTGCTAATCACGATTGTATTGTAAAAATTTCGGATCTGTATTTCCTTATTTAATATCAATGGCAATGTAAATATTTTCGTTTTTTACTTCTGATGTTCATGTGGGTTAGAGGTGATGAATGTCATATAATTAAGTAATCGTCTTGACTTAAAATCTTCTCCATTAAGTATCTGGGGAAACCAGAAACCATATTCAATCAATTAAATCCTTGGATGTTTCAGATAATATACCAAATAATTTTAAATTGTTTTAGCAAAAAGTAAAATTGACAAGAAATGTTTATGATTTAATGTGTTTTGTCACTAAGTTGCTTTTATGGATACGATAGCAGGCTAAAAACTGGTCAGTTGACTAATTTGTTTATGCTTATCTTCTAAATTGACCCTTCAAATAAAGACATGCCATTACAGATGTAATATATATATATATATAATATATATATATATGAAACACTATCTTCTCTGATATGGACGCACAACCCCTACCTCCCCTCGGATTTTTTGTGTGTACGTGAGGCTGAGCCTATTTTAATACTTGTATACCGTAAAAGAATCATTTGGATTCAAACCAATCCATTCCTCTTGGGACTGACCAGTTGCATGCTTGCTGCAAGCAACCTGCCATTTTTTCTGCTAATTTGTTCCACAAGCAAAAAATGCATCCAAAGTCAATATAAATGTTTGGATTGAGATTCAACTGCACATTAAAATTTTAATTTTTTGCAAGGAAAATATTTTGAATCGATACTGACCATGTCAGGAATATAATTTATCAATTAAAATCTAATTTATTGCCATGTTCAGAGAGATTAATAAACATTTCTGAGATGGGTATTACCTCAATTGGGGTTTTTTTTTTTTTTTTTTGTGTGGGTAGTGTAGATTAAAACTCTGAACTGGGTGTTGGATAAAAATAAGTTTTAATATTCTGGTCCAGTCAAAAAATCAAATAGAAAGCATAAATTTTCTATCCCTAAAATATGGGGATATGATGTTCGTGAATAAGTGGAAGGGGCCAATCTTTGAGTAAATAGAAAACTGAAAACAATTGGAAAGGTCATGTTAGTTAAATTGACTAAGTTAATACTGTGATCATTTATAATTACTTGAGACTTACTCATTTGGAATCATATAATTTAATCAAAAGAAGATGCATTTTGTTGGTGTGGTAGAATTAAGTATGAGGCTTGGGTTTCCATCAAACTACAACCATAATGAGGCTTTAGTTTGTTAAGTTTATATGAAGTGTCGACATGAATGGTATTGCAACTTGGAGCGTAGATATTATGCAAATTAAGAATTTGCTACCCTCGTACACAACACATTCAAATCAAAATTCATGTTTCGTATCAAAACCTTATTGACATGTAGTGTTCCAATTGGTTGAAAATTTTCATTCTCTTTTGACCGTTGGGGATGTTGCATCTCATTATCTATTCATTCATTTACAATAAAGTTATTAACACGTAACTTTTAAATATTGAATTGTTTTTTTTTTAATTTTTACATCTATGTTCATTTTAACAAAATGTTATTTAAACCATTTTTTTCATTCGTGGGAACAACTCAAACGATTTTTATGTTTGGGGACCGTGGAAGAATGACCGATTCATTTGAAGTTTATTTTTAAATTCATTAGTTTGCAAATAAATTTAACTAGTCAGCATTATATAATTGTCTGTTCACCAATAATCTTCATCATGTCTTTTATGGCTCAAAAGTATAATGTGTTTCTTAAATTCACAATGTATGTTTTTTGAGATTGTAATACGTCTTCTGATATCTTGAAAACTATTATTCTTTTAGAATATCGCACGTTTTTCAATTTAGATAATACTTGTTAGTTTAAAGACGATTTAAAAATACATCACGTTAATACTAATATACTAATAGTTATTATTATAAAAAGAAATTACTGAATGAGAATTGTTTTCTATGAAAAATTCATGCAATTCTAATACCAACCGCGTACGTTATCTTAGCATAGGCATATCATTAATCTTGTCGTGGACTTGAATATGCAAAAGAGTTGTATTTCAATATTGACAGTTAGTAATTAGCATAAAAAGTTAATATTTACCGATGAACTGAACGAGTAAAATACTCTTTACATAAATTAATTCAATAGAATTAAAATAAAATAATAAATTTTTTAGACTAATCGTGTAATGATTTAACCAAAAGTAATGGGGATGGTGATATTTGGAGAAAATAAAAAGAATTTTAGAAAGTTTTGGTTTATGAATGTGTTGATTATTTGTGTATTGTTCTTTTAAAATCTAACTAATTAGGTTAATTTTTGTGGGTTAGGAGTAAAGTGGGGAGGGGGGGAGACGGGATTACGAAGTCAATGGGGGATACGGAGGGTAATAATAAGCAGAGAGGGAAATTGGAAAATATCTCTGACAAGTTTGAAATTATTTTTAATTTTTTTTTTTTCTTTCTCTTCTTCTTTTTTACTCCTTCCAACACGCAACACGATCATATCTCCTCTCACAGTGTATTTTAGGGTGGGGGCTAACGTGTGTCACACGTACATCCAACGGCTCACGAGACGCCACGTGTAAAATCTTAAATTTGATACGAAAATTACTGATAATCATTAATTTATTTGTGTGGAAGTAAGTAGTTGGTTGGTTCTCTTTAATATTTTCTCATAATCTCATTAATTTATGAGTTGGTTGGGTCCTCTTTAATGTTATACCTGTGAAGTACTCCTTTTAGATTCTTTTGTAATTCAAATTTAAGTTTAATCAAATTAAGATTTAATTATTGTGTAATTTGGGTACACAAGGTTTGGTTTATTATATTTTTTCAGACTAATTTTGTTCTGAATTTAAGTTTATATTTTTTTATAAAGTTGAAGATTTTGAGGCATAATACCAGGGTCTTCCACAATGGAGAACACACACACATATATATATATATATGTATATATGCATAGTAGAAGAGACAAAAGGTTGCTTAAATGGCGCTGGTGGTTTGATTAAATTATATATATATATATATATATATATATAGCCATAATAACATCTACACTTATTTAAGCATAAAGATCACAAGAAAAGAAAATTAATAATTTCTCTTTTAAAAAAGCAACGTACGCACATCATTAAAGTTGAGTTCCAAGAACTGTATCAATGATTTTCAATTAAAATATTTATTTCTTTTAATATTTCATTATCAAATAAAATTAATTGAACAGAAATTTATTTATAAATTAAATTGTGAGTTTTTGAAGTTTATAAAATAATACAATTTCTTTAATCAAAGGAATGGTTTGGGATGAATTTAGAATTGATGAGGACTAAGATGAGATTTTTCTTTCTTAAAGATTTTGTCACGGCTAAAGTAACATAAAATCCAAGTGCATGGAGCAATTTTTCCCCCCCATCAACTTAATCATTCAAAGGAAGTTATCTTTCAATTCTAATTCAAAAAAATCTCTGGTCTCAAGAT